TAATTTCCCTATCGACAGTCCAGTGCCTAAATGAGATAACCTGAGACTAAGATGAAGGGCTTCCAATCTCCTGACAGCCTCTGAGCAAGTTGTATCTAGTCTCTTGGGGATAAAGTAATAAACTCTACCCAAGGGATATAGAAAAGACCATCTGATTCAAAACAAGGTGTTCATCCTTCTCGTTAGAGGTAAGGATTTAGTCAGAAGCAAGTTCTGAGGGAGATTAAGGGTCTTTCTGTGTGGGTGTACAGGTGTTCAGGCATCCACATACCCCAAAGTCACTGCAGTGGCAGCAGTTAGAACAACTCCTGTCCTGCAGGTTCATGTGTAGAAGGAGACTTTGCTGGGTGAGCTACCAAGTTTCCTGTTTACTACACGATAGAGCTGGGGATGCAAGTCTGCAGAGGCAATGGGTTGCCAGCAGCTTCCAAGACATTACTCCTCACTGCCCCCTTGCCTCAGGCAATATCATTGTAGAATTCCCCTCTGGTATCTGGAGAGACACTTCCCAGGGAACAGCTTTCTCTGGCACCCTAGAGAACAGATTTCAGGGAAGGACCAGAGGGAAGATTTCCAGCAAGTTCCCTGGGTACAGCGCCTCAGGGACATCCCTGTCACTGGCATGCCTGCTCCAACAAGGTCTAGATCTCAGCTGGGCGGTGGGGTCTGCCTTGGATGCTGTTTGTTTCAGCTGGAGGAACAGTGGCTGCTTCTTAGAGTATACTCTTGAGAGCTGTCTTCGCTTCCTTGGGTGCTGAAATAGAGCGTCTAAGGAATTTCCTCCTCTCTGAGATTCAGACCTCACTGGAGAGGAGGGAAGTGACAGTAGTCACGGTGATGCTGTACTGTTGGAACTTGTGGGAAAATCTTCCCTCCAGAGCTTGACAGTGAATCTGGGGCCAAGAGGAAATAGATCGATGCCTGGCACACATTCAGACACCAGTCCTCCTCTTCACAGTTTGCTGTGGCATACAGAAAAAAATAATTGTGTTCACTTCGCAGGTTTTTGTGCTGATGAAAGTGAAATGGCACGTGTTATATGTTTTGGGACTTACCTGGTGGTCTAGCGGTGAAGACTCCATGCTCCCAATGCAGGGGACCTGGGTTCAGTCTCTGGTTGGGGAACTAGATCCTACATGCTGCAACCAAGACTTCACATGCCACAGTTAAAGATCCTGCGTTTTGCAAGGAAGATGGAAGTTCCCACAAGCCGCAGCTAAGACCTCGTGCTGCCAAATAAATGTTTTTTTTTAAAAAGGAATGTTTCAAAGACACAAATGTTAAGATAGGATTAAAAATTATTTGGCTTTAAGGATGCCTATGCTTGGTTTTCAGGCTCTCCTATGATAACTCTGTTGACTTTTCTCAGGCCACTTGAAGTTTTTCCTGAGCCCAAGTTCTGTTTCTGATTTGTTATTTGCTGAAGCACAGTCACTTGGTGGCAGATAAGGCGGCTCTAGCCTCCCACAAATGAAGGGTTCTATCTGTATTTTCCTTCAGCATCCAGGCAGTCCCTCCCAGGGACTGACCTATTTATTTACTTATTTATTTTCATTCCTTCTCCTTTAATAAATCAGAAAATATAGGTGTTCAATATCCATCATGTGGCTAGTGGCCACCCAACTGAATAGCACTTAGAGATCTGAATTAATCTGTCACATTAATTAGTTGATCATTTAGCAGGCAAAGCAGGAGGGATCTAACCTAAGCTCGTGATACAGTTTTTTCAAACTCTGGGGGCTTCACAATTTTTGCTAAAGGAAACATCATCTCCTTTGAATTAAAAGGTAAAGCAACACTAAAATGTATAAAGTAAAAAAGTTTCTTCACACCATCCCCAAACTAACCAATCCTCTTAGCAACTACAGATAACATCTGGGGAGGTGGGCTTCATAAGATGCTTAGGAAATCAATTCTCTTCTTGCTTCTGTAGATTTTCAACTATGGTAATCTCTAAATTCTACCTCTCATCATTTTCATATGGAAGACATTTTCCTTTCCCAGCTTTTTAGTTCTGGAAAGAAGTAACATTATGTATTTTGCTTTATACTTGTTACAGACTACCTGAATATAATTTTTTATATATTTTAAAAATATATACTTAGTATTTGGGCTCTTTTCATCAGTGATGCCATTTTAATCATCTGGTTGAATGAAGAAATTAGAAGTCAGATTTACTGTTTTGATTGGCTGGTGTTTCAAAGTCAAATTACACAGTGGTCATCAGAATTCTTACTCTGGAAACTCAGTCATCTATTGATAGCTTTCCAATGAATGGATTGTTTCTTTATTTAGAATTTAGATTTTATGTTACATTTCACCCAAAGATAACTAGAATCATATGATACTGCTTTGTACATTTTGAGCTCTGTCAAAAAGAAATACAACGTGGTAGGTGGCAGGAGATGGGCAGGCAGTGTCTGCAGGGTACACAGTTGAGAATGCATTGCTTTCAGAAAGGTGATGCTGTGTGTAGTTACCAGCTATTTCCTTCCTTTTGAGAATGATAGTTCCATGAAAAGTTAAGAAAAGGGAAAACAGACTTGTATTAACATTGACAGCTATGATAGGTATAAACAAAAGATTTAACAAGACTCTGGGTATCTGAAGTGTACTATGCCCACAAAGAAAGTTGAGAAATTTGTAAAATGACTAAAAGTAATAACAATAATAAAAGGCTAGAGGTAATTATTATTAGGGCTTGCCGGTGGCTCAGGGGTGAAGCCTACAACACAGGAGACTCGAGTTTGATTCCTGGGACGGGAAGATCCCCTGGAGGAGGAAATGGCAGCCCACTCCAGTATTACTGCCTGCAAAAACTCAAGGACAGAGGAGCATGGGGGCCTACAGTCCATGAGTTTGCAAAGATTCAGACACAATTGAGCGACTAAACAACAAAAACAATTATTATTAAGGCTTTCCTGCTCCTTCAAATTGCAATGGCAGCTGTATTCCAGTGCCTAGAACAGTACTGGTACCTACTAGTCGCTCAGTCAATGGGCCTGTTGCACGATTAGGCCTTCTAGTACTACTGAAGTGAAGTGAAAGTCGCTCAGTGGTGTCCTACTCTTTGCGACCCCACGAACTGTACAGTCCATGAGATTCCCTAGGCCAGAATATTGGAGTGGGTAGCTTTTCCCTCCTCCAGGGGATCTTCCCAACCCAGGGATCGAACCCAGTTCTCCCGCACTGCGGGCGGATTCTTTACCAACTGAGCCACAAGGGAACTAGGGCACCACAATTTAGTCAACATGAAAAAGCCAAAATATAAAAGCTCTTAATACAATGAGGAGGCCGCGGAACAAGGATTTTCAGAAAAATACAATACTTTTTTCTCTCAGTGTTTACATCTAGTGGGGGCAAAAAAAACCCCGAATCATTCACTTTGAACGGAAGTTGAAACCGCAGGACAGAAGCCGAGACCCAGAACCCACTCGGGCCCAACTACACGCCACGCCCACCACGCAGGCGCAGGAAGGGGCGGAGCCGAAACGGGTGGAGGCGAGAGGCAATTCGTCGAATTCCGATAGCTCCGCCCTACGTCCAGCGTCAGGCGGTTACGTGATCGTCCCGGGCCGGCGGGAAGAGTTTCAGTGTTTTCCCAGCAGCGCGCGCCCGCACTCCACCGGCTGCCGGCCCAAACGTGGGTTGGCTGTGAACCCCGCGCGAGGAGCAGCGGTCACAATTTCCTGAGTTCGCTACGAGTACTGCACGCTTCCTTCCGGTAACTGTGAGAGGGGTGCCTGGAGGGGGTCCGCAGGGGTTGCTAGATGAGGCCTCTTCGGGCTGCCGCCGGCCAGCAGTCGCGTACTCCTCTGATGACTTCCTGGCCACTGTCGGGGTCGGGGTGAAGAGGCGATTAAACGGTCGCGGGGTGGGGGGGGCGGAGGGGAGGTGAGACTGGACCCCGTCCCATTAGCTAGGTCGGTTTTGGCGCGCTTTCCCGTCCGCACTCGCTATTGGCTGGCGGGCGCCGTCCCCAGGCGTGCCCGTGGGTTGGAGGGCCCCGGCGCGTTGAACCTTCTGCCGCCTCTTTGGTGTCTGGGTCTCTGTCCCGAGGACAGACTTGCGGGCTTATGGGGCGGTTTCTGTGCAGTTGGTTGGTGTGAGGGCATCAGCGTTGGTGTACCTTGTCAAGAGGAACATCATCCGTCCTCATGACCAGGAATTAACTGGTGGAAATCCATTGTTGTCTAGTCGCTAAGTCACGTCCGTAGCCTGCCAGGCTCCTCTGTCCATGAGATTACCCAGGCAAGAATACTGGAGTGCGTTGCCATTTCCTTCTCCAAGAGGATCTTCCCGACCCAGAGATCGAACCCGCGTCTCCTGCATTGACAGGCTGTTATTTTACCACTGAGCCTCCATAGTGGTCCGCTAACTGGGCTCGGGGGAGAAGATCCCTGAATCCTGCGTCTGCTCGTTTAAAGAAAAAATGAACGTGGTGATACTTGGTTTCATCAGTTTATCAATAGTTCCTTGGACTCACTCCTATGCTAGTTTTCAATCTAGTTGTTTAAAATAACTAGATAATAAAAAGTAAGGATGTCGGCGGGAGTGTAATGAGCAAGTGAGGAGTTAGGTTTGACCCGTGGCTTTCAACTGTTTAAATCATAACGTGTATTAAATCATTTTTTACATCGCAATTTAGGACTCATTCCTCAGCTAAATTAGAACCTTCAGGGGGCAGTATTTATTCCTCCTATGCCATACACTTTGATGTTTTAAACACCCACTAAGTGATTTTGGAACCCCAGGCTGCGACCCGCAGTTTGAAAACCACTGCCCTGGCTCAGCCCGACCAGCATTTGCTTAACATTAAACAGACTAGAAAACAGGCTGCGTCACAGCGTTAGACTTTCTTTCCTAAGCTTTTATGATTGCGTTTGTGTGTGCTGGCAAACAGCATAAAATGTATTCACATGGGATGGGTCATAGTCAAATTTCAGAAGTCACTGCACTGAGTAAAGAAAGGCATAGCTGCAGAAATCAGTGAGCTCTGTATGAGAGAAGAGAGACGGCTGAGGAGTTCAAATTTGGGTTTGGAGTGAGTGGAGCCAGTGTTCTGGTTAATAAGATTGCATAACCCTCTGTCTCCTCCCTTTTCTTTGCATCCATCAGTGCCTCAGTTAATGGTGGTTAAACATTCCCTACACATGGAAATGCATAATCTTACTTGATTAGATATTAAGTCAGTATTAAGTTATTGCTGGTTACCAGGGCCAAGTTTATTATAGCTTAAAACTGTCTTTGAAACAGCAAAGTTAGGATGCTGTTTTTGACCTGATCATACCTGAATGTCTGTGTTTTACTTTTCCCACTGACCATTTTTCAGATCTTTGGGAGCCCTGCATTTAATATAGAACACCATCATGTTTTGTAAATTTGCTTAGACTACATATTTTCTCATGTAACAAAATTTTACCAGCCAGAATTATTTTTTGTGTGTGTGTGTGTATGTATAAAGTAAAGATACTAAGAGTCATTAGCTTTAGTCACTTGTCATTGACAGGGCTGAGTTTGGGTACAGTGAGAAAAGATTCTATCTTTTTAATCGTTATGATTTTTTAATTTTTATTTTTATGTTGTACTTTGAACAAAAAACTAAATTTCACTTTCTGATGGAGATTGTTCTGTTTTTGAATTGCTAGTCTTCTGCTCTTCATCAGGTGTGTAATGAGTCACAACATGAAGCAGAAACAAGAAGGACTCCAAGAGAATGTAAAGGTATGTGATGCAATCACTTTCAGCTTTTGTAGAAAGCAGATAGTTAGATGTTTTTTGACATAATTTGGTCAAATTTAACTTGGCTATAATTTCTGTGAACCTTGGCTTAACTAAATTTTGAGTCTGAGGGCAAGTAACAATAGAGGACTGTTTAAAAATGAATTATGGTTGAATTAAGTTTTGTGATCCAGGCACATAGGATGTTTTTCCATTTATTTAGGTCTAAGTATTTTGTTGTTTTTAATGCTATTGTAGCTGGAATCATTTCCTTAATTAAGTTTTTGGTGTGGTCATTGCTGCTATATAGAAATGCAATTGACTTGTATCTTGATCTTGTTTCTTTCAACCTTGCAGAGCTTGTTTATTAGTTGTAATAGTTTTTTTTTAGTAAATTCCTTAGGGTTTTCTGTATACAAGACTTTATTCCTTTGTTTTTACTCTTACTACATTTCATGAGATGGTTTTATTAAAATCCTTTAAGTGTATATTCAAATTAGATCTTTGATCACAGAGACATTTTGCATTATTACCTTGCCTTAGTATCTTCCTTACATTATTTTTCTTGAATAATAGTTTGTACTGATAATATGTGAATTTGATACCATCATCTTCCATAAAGGGTAATAACATCTTGCACTTGTGCTTTGTATGTGTGTGTTTTTAAACTTTTTATTAGGAAAATATTAAAAAATAGTAATTTAATCTCAATTTACTTCCCCCACTTTCAGCAATTATCAGTATATCAGTTCAGTTCAGTCGCTCAGTCGTGTCTGACTCTTTGCAACCCCATGGACTATCAGTATATGGCAAGTCTTATTTCATCTCCGTCTCTATTCGCTCCTTCTTTCTTCCACTGAATTATTTTGAATCAAATCCCAGACAGATAATTTATGTAATTCCAGCAGAGTCTAACATTTAAAGAGAAGTCTAATATTTAGTAGTTATAGTACAACTATCTGGGATATAAAAGGACCTGGGTTCTGCTGGGTTGTGCCTCCAAAACTGTGGTGTTGGGTGAGTTATTTAGCATCTCCGCCTTAGTTTACTCATCTGTAAAATGAGCGAGTTGGACTGAAGCTAGTCTGTAAGAGTATATTTTAGGAGTTCATGGATTCCTTGCCAGTCATACACAAAATGCTGTGTGTGTGCTTGTTTTGTTGTTACTGTTTCTTGAGGGGGTTTGCAGAATATAAAATTGTTTTCTAAAAAGATTAAGACTCATTAATATATGAGAACCTTTCTGGCTGTAAAGAGCTTATTCTAAATGCAAGATCTGTATGAATAAAATGATAATAGCAATATTACATTTGGGTGGCTGGATGCTATAAACCTTACAGTTGTGAAAGTTAAATCTTGGAAATGGTCATTTAGTATTTCAGTCATTTATCTTAGTAGCAAGTGTTTAAATAAATTAACATCTATTATTAAAGGGTTTCAAAGTTGTATTTTCTTCTGTTTGTCTGGAGACTGTTGACTAATCTTAAATTATATCTGAAATGTTGGTGTAATATTTGTTCTCCCAGTAGCCAGCGTTTGTTCTTCAGTTCAATAGTGAGATAATAATCAGCAGTAGAAACTTTACCGTGGGAAAGGTGAGCTCTAGTCCTGTGGAGTGCAGTGTGGAATCAGTAACTTTCTCACGCTGCTCTGGTGTCATGTTCTTACTGACTTTGTTTGAGTATTCACTATTGTTTGCTATCCCATGGTGGCAGTATAACTAATGATTTTTTGCAGATATAGTAGAGAGATCTTTTAGATCAGGAAATATACAGGAAGGTATTTACATATTACAAGGAAGGCAATTTTTTTCCCGAAACAATAGCTTGGGCATTTTGGAGTTCTAGTATGCCTCAAGCAGTGACATTTTTGCTGTCTGCTAATGAATGGTCTTGAAGCAAACTGCTTCTACACTCAGGTAAAGGTTGAGGGGGAGAAGCAGGTCTTCTTACATGTGTTATGTTCTTAAAATTATATTCTTGTGAATTCATATAAATATGTTAGGGGATATTCACAATTTAAAGAAAGCCTAAGAGGAATCCTTTTGATTAGGGGAGAGAAATATTTTGCAGTTAAATAATTAACCCTTTCTTCCAATTTACCCCTTTTGTGGGTTTCTGCCATAAATGTAATATATTTGGTACATTTCTAGTTTCTGTGTGAAAGATCTTTTTTTTTATAAGATGGAATACAGATACTTCTGGTATTCTGGAATTTCACCATATATGAAGTATTAGAACTTAAAAATGTTGTATTTTTGTTTTAACTAAACAATGACTGTATGACTTTAGCAAGAACGTATATTGAAATGGGAGAAGAGTGACTTGTTTGTGTCAAGTTTGAGTAATATGATTTATTTTTAGAATTTCTTCAAACTTTATTAGAATTTTAGGGAAATAATAAGTTTGCTAGTTGATCAAACCATGTGTAATTTTATAAAATTATATACCATATCAAACATTAATGTCCTTTGGGTTGTTTTGTTTTGTTTTTTGTCAATTATAGTAGGATTAAAATAGTAACAGTCCATATAGTAACTTAGTAACCAGATAATTTATTATGTTGACTTTCAGAGTAGTCCTGTTCCAAGAAGAACTCTGAAGATGATTCAGCCTTCTACGGCTGGATCTCTGGTTGGAAGAGAAAATGAGGTGTGTATTGTTGGGCTAGAATGGGGTACAGATGATTCTGCACTTACATTAAACACATTTCAAAGACTTACTTGGTCAGAAATACCTAAATCATTGAAATTTTGAAATAATTTAAGGATAACAATTATATATTCCCCACAGAAGTGGTTTTTGTTTTAATTTCAGTTTAGGAAGTTGAAAGTTGGTATGGATATCTGTAGCAGAACTGGGATAATAAATTATTATGAGTTAACCTATAGGCATAATGTTTGATTTCTTTCTTCTTTTTTTAAAGAATAAAATGTTAGATTCAATCATTTACCCCTGTATGTAAATAATGAAATCATGGATGAGGGTTTCTAGACTTTTATGGGTTGCAAATCATGCCTTCCCATGGTACTGAATTATTTAAGTAATAAAAATGAATTCAGCTAAGCCTTAGACCGAAGTCTGATCTAAAATAATTGCTGTAAATAAAATTCCTAAAATATGACTATATATTTTTGTAGAGTTTTGAATTTATAATTTCTTAAAAGAGCCAAAGATATCAAAAAGAGATATGAATACCTTAGTTTTAATCAAAAGAGACAAAGCTATTCAGCTTTCTTGTTCATTAAACAAAATGACTGATGTACATATTTTCATTATAGTTGGTTAAAGGCTTGTCCAAACAGAAACATTGGAATGACCAGTTAATATCTAAGACTTCCAGCTCTGGAGTTGTTACTGACCCAGAACATAGTAAAAATAAAACTCTTGGAGGAGTCAGCCAAGAAGCATTTGATCTTATGATTACAGGTACAAAAAAATATGTATATATGCAGCTTTTATCTTAAAAACCTAAATTATAATAAGGGTAAATATTGTTTGTTGTTATGAATTCTGCCCACAGCTTTTTAATCTATTAAAATATTTTGCTTTAATGTTTTTGATAATTTAAAATTTCTTATGGTTGGAAATACATAAAATGTAAATTTGGACAGGTCCTATGGTTCGGTAAGATCCATATACGGGTTTAATATTAAAGGAAAGGATAGTGAATAATATGGCAGCTTTGATATTGGACATGTAAGACTTAGAAATAGTCTCTTCAGAAGAAAAGTGTCTAGAGAATGAATTTGCGGAGAGGAACTTGAAGAAAAGATACCAGGAGAATGATATAAGGGAACAATAGGAACACGAAGAGTGAAGATGAGTGAGAAGCATGTGCCTGTGACAATTACTGGTTTTAATGGAATGGCAGTGGAATTCATAAAAGGAAGCTAGTGATGTTTTATAAGTACTATGGAAGGTGATTACTTCTATTCTAATAATGAGTCATTGGATATTATTACTGAGGAAAAAATTTGAGACCTAGAGAAGTTAATGGTCTCACCCAAGATTAAAGTGGTGTTTGGGCTCATTTTGAGTTGCCTGAATGACAGTGGGGGAAGAAATAAGTAGATAGTGGGTTTTTTAAGGCAAAATAAAGAAAGGTTGATTGCATACAAATAAAGAAGTTTTAATAATAGTGTAAAATAAGCAATAGGATTTGTGATACTCATCTGATTTGGCTAAAATTAATGAAGATTGATAGGAAATAATAACTAAAGTTAAATATGGAAATAAATAACTCAACTATACATTGTATTGCTATCATAACCACATAGAAAAAATTAATTCATTTAACTTGAACACAGAACTCTTGAGTATACAACCTCATGGGATATACTGTGAGGACTGAAAGAACTACAAAGAAATCTTGAATTTAATTTTTGCTGTTAGTGGTATTGTTATAGTAGCAGTTATGGGGGAAATTTGAGTATATTTTAGGATTAAGCAAATGGGTAATATGTTGATATTTTTGGGTTCATGGTATGGTGAAGGGAGATACAATATGTAATGGGGAAGGAAAGGAGGAACTCTTGTGGAACTGGAATTGGGTGTGTTGGTATGAACTGATTTTTTTGTTTTTTAAAGAATCTACCTCTGCCAGTGAAAGCCCAGAAACAATGGCACCTAAATAACAAGAAGCACAATCACATCCAGTTCTTGGTTTGTAAACAGGATTCTCCACTAAAGCTCCCTGGAGAAATGGCTGCTTCCAGGACTGGGGCAAGCTCACTATAGAGTGAGCTTGTAATCTCTTATGTTAGAAAACACAAGAAATCTCTTGTGTTAGAAAATCAACAACTGATGCAGAGGTTAAACGGATAAGGAGACTGCTTTAAGGGATCCCCTTGGCTAAAGTAGGGAAAGTTTGAGCATCAAAATGAATGATGACAAAAATGGATTATAATACACTGAATTAAAAAAGAGTACATGAATCCATACTGGTAATTTTCTTCTGAATTGGGGGAGGGGATGTTCTTTGACAGAATAATGCCAACTACTGAATGTAGAAGGAACTACATAAATGGAAAATCACTACTTTTTTTATCCACCGTAGAAACAGATTTAAGAAATATTAGTGGAGCTAAAACTGGAGGAAAGGTTGTTAGGGAATTGGATATTAACACCAGACTCAAAAATTTTACTCCATAGATCATTTACTTGCTACTGAAGGAAAAAAAATGTCTTTACAAGGGAGAAATCATCTTAAATGATTGAATATAACATCTAGGATTGTGACAAACTAGGATTGTGACAAATTAGTATGTGCTTCATCAGTGGTACACTGGGAAGGATACAACATATTTACACAGTGTCCTTGCCAACATGTATAGCTTGAACCTAATAATGAAAATGGACAAATGCAAATTTAAGGGCAATGTAAAAATAACTGATCTGGACTTTTCACAAATGTCACTGTTAAACAAAAAAAAAGTATGAAGACACATAGCAAATGCAGCAAACAACCTTTAACAATCTAGGTGAAAGTTATATGTGTATTGTACTGGTGTTGGAATTGTTTTGAAAGATTGAAAATCTTCAAAACGTTTGGAAAAATAAGAGAAAAAATTGATTTGGCTTTCTAACTTTAATCTTTTTTAAAAATGGTATTACTAAGTACTGAGTAAGACTAAATTTTTTTTTTAATAGACAAAAAGTTACTGGGTTTTTACAGCAGTATATATATACAGTAATGATTTCCGAAGTTACACTGTAAAACATTCATTTATTTTAGAAAATCCATCCCCTCAATATTGGAAAGAAGTGGCGGAAAAACGGAGGAAGGCTCTCTATGAGGCCCTTAAGGAAAATGAGAAAGTATGTACTGAATATAATTTGTGACATTTTTAAACATTCCGGGATCATTTTTCTTCTGCTGTCTAAGATATTTTACTAGAGCAATATAAACTAGATTTAATGTTGGCCTAGTAAAAGTTTAATTAGGCAGAACTGTTACACAAAAAGAAGCCTATTGTGTTGAGAGTCAAGGACAGCACCTTTGTTAGCAACTTTGTCCTAAATGTGCTATCAGCTGTATACTTGGAGGCATATAATTTGGTTTACAGTGTCGCAAACCTGTGAGATATTGAACTATTTTGATTTATGTCACATAGCTCCATAAGGAGATTGAACAAAAGGACAATGAAATTGCCCGCCTGAAGGAGGAGAATAAGGAACTGGCAGAAGTGGCAGAACATGTCCAGTATATGGCAGAGATGATACAGGTAGGTGTCTTAACCTTCACCTGACCAGAGTCCTCTGTTTTCCTATCAAGTCCAGGGAGTGTGATCAGAACGTGTTTGGGCTCTAGGATCAGATCTCCCAATTTGAGTCCTAGCCCCTGCCTAGCGCCATTAAGTTAAAGTTAAGCAGGTTGTTTATCCTGTCAGGGCTCCATTTTCATCTATAAAATGGGAGTAATAGTGCCTACTTCATAGGCTCCCTATGAGAATAATGAGTTATAATAGGGAAAAAATTGAGAGAATTGCCTGTACCTAGTGAGAACCCAAAACTGTCAGATGCTGTTGTTTATTATTATGAAACAAAAGGACACCTGTTTTCTTGTAGAGATTTAAAAAGGAATTATATCTGAAAGATATAGGGAATTTATTATATTTCACAGGTGTCAAATTTTCAGACAGGCTTTTTAAAAAGTTTTTATTGGAGTTTGGTTGATTCATAGTGTTGTGTTAGCTTCAGGTACACAGCAGAGTAAATCAGTTACACATACATATATATATATATATATATACACACACAGACATCCACAGTTTTTATTTTAACTAATGCCACTGAGACATGATGGGCACTTATAAAACTGGTATTAATAATTGGTGTACTGAGTAGCTTTGGTCATCTTATCTTTTTTAAAAAATTTGGAAGTAACTAATGTGTTTATAAGTATTAACCTGATGACTCTTAATTTACCAGTCTTAAAAACTAGGTCTTAAATTTATTCATGTCTGCAAAACATCATCTTGTGGTTAGGAAGGAAGTTTTTCAAATCACAACTTTTCTTGTACTGAATTTCTGCCTTACATTTTAGCACCATGACAGAATAAAGTTTTCATTTGGAAGCACTGTAGTAGCTCTGTTAACTGCCGTGGGAGTATTGGTCCAAAGCAGATGGGAAATTAGGAAACCTGGTCCTTTACTGTAGTTTGAGAAGTACTGGTTTGAGTTGTATTCTGAAAGCATCTCAGTACTTAAAAATAAGCAAATTTGTAAACACTGACTTTGCAGAAATAGGATCTAATATGGTTAGCACTTTGATATAACACTTGACTGCTTGTAAGTGAATTTAGTAGAGACATTATGAAACCTTATTACAACATTGAGGGTTCCTTATATCAGCATAGTAATAATGGACTTGGATTGTAAAGTTTTTAAAATAAATTATTGGTTTATTCTTTAAAAGAGGCTGAGTCATGAACCTCTGGATAACCTTGAATCACCGTATAGTCAGGAATTTGATCCTGAACAGGCAACTGCTGAGGATTCTGAATGAAGTAGAAGACTCAGAAATTGCTGGTACATGTGCTGAAGAAGTTGTCTCTTCCTCTACAGATGTAAAACCGAGTATATGAAATTCAGTAACTGCCAAAGTTTACCTCCACTGTAGTTCTTTGTAGCAGAGCAAATAACTTTATTATATACTTTTTTTTTTGCAAATAACTTTATAATGAAAACTTGTTATCAGATTCTCTTGTTTGTATCCTGGAACCCTATTATTGTATTAAAATACAAATACTATGTATTTTTAATCTATGGTGTTTTGTGTAAATAGCATTTTCTCAGTTGTCAGACATGACTTGTGTATATGATAAATAAACTTCATTCTATTGAGTTTTGTGTGCATCTTGGAAGAATGAAGTATAAAGTCTGTGTAGAAAATTTGTCTATTTCTGTGCTTTTTGTTTTGTTTCCTTTCTGTTCTGCTAACTAGCTTGGAAGAAAACAAGGGAAAATGACTTCTCCCTCTTTAGACTGAGATAGCTGAGGTTTTCCCTCATAAACCTGGTTGCACCTCAAGCTCACTGGAGGGAAATTTGATTTCTAGACCCTAAGCCCCAGTAATAGGACCAAGTAGAAGTGTGAACATCTAGATATCCAAAAGCTCCCCAGGTGAATCTGATTAGCCACGAGAAGGCTCAACTGGCTGGTAGGATCCTACTCTCCTTGGAAGGTTAAGATGTTGGGGTGATGTTGGTGGTCTTAGAAAAGCAGAGGGTGCAGCACATAAAGAAATGCAGGAATAACTAAGGGTTCTGAAACTTTCTGTTAACACAGTTCACATACTGGAGTAGACAGAGTGTGTATATTTAAGTAAGGGTGAAATGAAGGATGTACTGTTGTAGGAAGAAAAAGGCATAGGGGGAATTGAGAAGTATACAGCATTGGGATTGAGTAAGTTCTGTGGACAGCATACAAGCAACTTTGTGTAAATTGACAATAAAGAGCAATATCAAGCTTCTAAGGATTACTTTAGGCATGTTATTCTTCTAGAACTTCAATTTTCTTATCTCTAATATTGAGGTAAAGTCCACCTCTGTGTTTGTGAGGACTAAAAATTTTAAATAATGGAAACTTATTAACCTATAGCAACATTGTCCAATAAAGGTTTTTGGGATGCTGGAACTGAATTGTCCAGTATAATACCCAGGTATCCTTGAGTACCAAATGTGGCTTTATGAATAAGGAACTAGCAGTTTGTTTATGTTTTAAAGAGCCATGTGAGGTCAGTGGCTGTGTATTAGTGCAGCTCTAGATGTTTTAGATTTGGTGTATTAGTCCAAAGAGAGAACTGAGGAAGAACAGATAAATTTTACATTGTTTTTTACCACCATAAAAATAATTTTTAAAAAGAATTAAGGATATTCTTGATTAGAGGGAGAGGGGGATCAGAGGAGTTTAGAATGAGTGGTAAAGAGGAGAGCTAAGTAGAATAGGATGACTTGGCAAATAGAAAGTATTTCTGGAAAATGTCAAAAACGGATTGCTAGGATTTGGTAGCAGGGAGCAAAAGGGGAGGGAACTGAGAATTTTAAAATTTAATGTCAGAGCTAAAACTATTAATCTTCTAGAAGAAAATAGGAAATTTCAGTGACCTCAGATTTGGTAAAGATTTCTCCAAAAGGACACATAACTAATTATACCATAAATCTGATTGCATAAAAATAAAAAACTTCTCTTTGAAAGACTTAGAATGCAAAGACAAGCCACAGACTGGGAGAAAATACTTGTAAAACATACCCAACAAAGGATTTCTATCTATAAAGAACTTAAAACTCATTAAGTAGATAGACAACCTTTTCTTTAAATGGAGGAAAGGTTTGGACACCTGGAGAGCATATGTACAGACAGTAAACAAGCGTGTGGAAAGGTGGCATTGTTAAGTCATTAGGGAAGTGCAAATTAGACCAGTGAGATTCTGTTAGGTGTGCATCAGAATGGCTCAAGTTTGAGAAAACCTTCACAATACCAAGAGTTAAGGATATGAAACAATGTCCCATAAGGATATGGGACTCTGGCAGTCCTGGTGGCAATATTAAATGCTACAGGTGCTGTTGAACTGTTAAACCGTTCCTTAAAAATTAAACACACATTCTATATGATCCAGCCATTCTACTCTTAGGTATTCTTACCTGAGGGAAATGAAAGCATAAGTCCTTTATGAAGATGAGCAAATAAAGCCCTTGTGCTCAGATGGTTATCTAGCATTTGCTTCTAAGAGAATCCTTACAAGGGACAACAAAGGGAAATAACCATTTGTTAAAATTTTGGTAAGCCAGTGTAAAATCACAGCTTAGCATAAAAATGCCTCAAGGCCCAAATCTGAACCTGTTTTTCACCAGAGACCCAGCATGATTTGACTCTGAATTACAAAAGCGTTTGGAAAATGTAATTTCTGTGACACAGTTTCTAAATGGGGCTTCTGATTTCCAACCCTAATCGCCTATGAACTGAGTTCTAGTTTGAGAAACAGTTACACAATCCACAAAGGGTGAAAAGGTACAGTGGCTCAGCAGCAGAACACAGCTTTTCCTCTTTTAAGTTTTGAGACAATTTCCCCAGGGAACCTCATGAATCCACATGATGTGAATAGCATCCCTAACAACATTCCTGTAATAAATAAAGATCACCGACCTAGACTTTCTCCAGGCCCCTCAGGTGAAAGCATGACACTAAGTTTAGTCAAGGCATGTCTGAAAGACGAAAGTATTCAATCTCTTGATGGCTCAAATTTAAGCTAGAGGCAAATATTAGGGTAGTTAGAGACACAAAAAGCTACAAGTCCTTTAAGTACTTTTTCATAAATATTTTTTGTAACAAAGCTTTTGATGAGGCTGGACAGTACGGAAGTGTGTTTTCTTTTACATATTTTCTAACAAAATACGGAAGGTGAAAATCCAAGAGCCTAGTTCCTTGGGTATCTGTACACATAATACTCCATCTCTTTCCAGAACTGGACCAGTGGAGGTGAGCACTGCTCCATGAAGTGTGAGTTCCCCCGAACTCCTGGTCAGCCTGATGTGCAGTAAGATCATGTCTGAAAGCCAAACACAGCCTCAGCCAAGGATGTGGCACCTTGAAGGCTGGCACTGAAACAATGCAAGGATGTGTATGAGTAGGGCGACAGCATCCATCTACATCCCCTGTATCATCCGTTGTGGCTGTGAGCTGGGTTTAGATTTGGCATTTCTGGGTGCCTTAGCTAAATGTCATCAGTCACCCCCCCCTCCCCCCCAGCAAATACACCACTGCTTCTAACAGTTACATAGGTAATGTGTCTTCCAGTGAATTCTGATTTAACTTAATTTTTATGAGGTTATCTCAACAGGGGCGCTTTTCATAAGTTTGGTTCATCACAGTAATGTTGAAAATGAATATAGAGTTTTTCAACCACCTAAAAGAAAATGCTGAAGAATAATGTTACCAGCTCTTGTTATTTATTGAAATTTTCCAGGGTAATACAGTGGGGTGCAGACAGAGGCATCAGGTAGCTGGATTCAGAGAAATTAATGCCTGTGAAAACCAATGAGGAAATATAGCACCTCTGCAAAATTCTCGGGCCATCCAGACCAATTCTCACTGGCCAGTATTTGCAAGTGATATTTCAGAGAACTGCAGTGTTTAAGCTCCTGCATACAAGGCAAGTTATTGCATGTAATGACAGAGAGAACATAGCAACCCCAAAATTTAACCAGGAGGCTGCTGTTTGTTTCACTTTTCATAGTAGACTCAAGTTTGTCATCAAAAAGATGGACGAGAATAGGAATAAACTGCAAATGTTCAGCTCTTCTCTGGCTGACAGGGTTTAAGTAACACCAAGATGCGACACTCTGGAGAAGCAGGATCTTTATTTTGGGTACCATCTCATAATTTTGCAACAAGTGGGCTACTTCTTTCATGTACTCAGCTGCAAAATTTCCAGCAGTGGGTCCTCCTGTAAAACAAAGCATTTGCATTTCCAAAGTATTTGATGTGTCTAGTAGCTAGTAACATGAGTGCTCTTGTGTTCACACTGATTTCCTCTCCCCTGACACCCCAGTCTCCATGTGCTGCTCTGAAATTAAGAAAGCGTATGTTGATCCGCGTGGGGTTACATGAAGAGCACTGGGAGGTCCCTGCCTGCTCAAAGCTTTTCCCTGGTTCCTTCATCAGGCACCTGTCAGTAATGCAAGATGAATAAAGCCTGGCTGTGTTCACCTTGCAGATCTCCCTCATGGTTTCATTCCAGAGTCTTGGTCTTCAGTGCTTGAAGAAGTACCAGAACATTAGAGCAAACATAGGAAAAACCAACAGGCTGAGCTGCAAGGTCAGGGTCTTACTAGCAGGAGAGGTTTTTCCCAAGTTGTCCATCATTATTCTGTTCTTAACGTGTTTCTCAGCCCAACTCTTGCAGATCTGGGGCCAATCTGGTCCTTGACTCTACTCCCATCCTATACCTGGACCCCAGATCTTCCTAGTTCAAATCTTGAATTCTGAGAAGGTCATAGATAAAAAGGCACTGATGAAGACAATTTAGATGGTGAGGAGCGGCTGGTACAGTTGTCTGGATTCTTAGCCACTGGAGTTCTGACCTCGCTTGGATTTCTCTTATTTGTACTGCCACAGTCTCATGGTTTTAAGAATTTTCTCTTTGATGTAAAGTGTTAGCAGAAAGCTGGCATGAGCCCTTTTCGTTGTTCCCCACATGAAATTAAAGGATTCTGATCCCGTTGTAATTCGCTAACTCTTGCCCCCAGTGGTGACCATGGCTCTGTAGTGAACTGAGCCTGCCTCCGTGGTGGTTACGGTTTATCCTCCTGCACACGGGCATCTTCCTGAGTTCTGTCCTCTCTGGTCCTGTGTAGTGCTTCCTAATCATTCTGGCACCTTAGGACCCATCGGTCCTCATAAACACTAAATGTTTTCTCTCATGGACACCGTTCTGTTGGAAGTAGTCTATCAACAGGCATCAAAATAATTCATTTTCCCATTTAAAAAATTATCTACCAATGACAC